TCTGAAATACTGATCACGCTACTTCTGTTGTCTTATCACAAGTCAGGTAAAATGTGTTAGTTGTTTAGACGGGTTATAATATCTGAAATACTGATCACGCTACTTCTGTTGTCTTATCATAAGTCAGGTAAAATGTGTTAGTTGTTTAGACGGGTTATAATATCTGAAACAATGAACATGCTACTTCTGTTGTCTTACCATAAGTCAGGTAAAATGTGTTAGTTGTTTAGACGGGTTATAATATCTGAAATAATGATCAGGCTACTTCTGTTGTCTTAATATAAGTCAGGTAAAATGTGTTAGTTGTTTAGACGGGTTATAATATCTGAAACAATGAACATGCTACTTCTGTTGTCTTACCATAAGTCAGATAAAATGTGTTAGTTGTTTAGACGGGTTATAATATCTGAAACAATGATCATGCTACTCGCTTCAGCTACATTAATCTCGAGCAAGAAAATCATTTTTTGTTAGGAGCTTAGACACTAATATCCTCTAAGGTTATCTATAATAGTTACGCTTTGATTTTTGCATCTTTGCATGGGATTAAACTGTGATTCACGAGTATTTCTTTACTAAAGGTTTATATGGGATTAGAACGTGTTTCACAAGTATTTCTTTAGTCAGTATTTAATTAGATTACATCGTGTTTCACGAGCATTTCTTTACTGAATGTTTACATAAGGGTAGACCAAGTTTCACTGACTTTCACAACCGTATACCTTACATTAACAGAACACTTACATCCCAGAATAGTTGTGTCCTAGTTCCTAGACTAACAGAACACTAAACCTTCAGCATACAGTGTTTCTAGTCGAACTAGACGCCGAAACTTCAACAAACAGCTGGACACTTCATGTCATATTTAAATTGCAGTCAGTTCACTAACACGATACACTATTTTTCAGTTTGTGGCCGGACCATGCCAGTGCACACAACAACCTGGGCACGTTGTTTCATGATTCAAAAGAAGCTGAGTATCACTTTAGAGCTGCCATATCCATCAACCCACTGCACGCCAGGGCCTACTTTAATCTAGCCAATCTATACAGGTACGTCGGGTCGTTTTAAAATGGGTAAAAAATACACAGCTACTTTATAAAATACAATAGGCAAGTATCACTGGGAAGTTAACACATCTTGTTTGGTAGTTTAAGATTCTTTAAAGATACAATAAACAGGCATCATTGTGTAGTTAATACATCTTGGCTAGTAGTTTAAACGTCTTTATAAGATACAATAGACAGGTATCATTGTGTAGTTAATACATCTTGTCTAGTAGATTAAACGTCTTTATAAGATACAATAGACAGGTATCATTGTGTAGTTAATACATCTTGTCTAGTAGTTTAAACATAAAGACAAGATACAATAGACAGGTATCATTGTGTAGTTAATACATCTTGTCTAGTAGTTTAAACGTCTTTATAAGATACAATAGACAGGTATCATTGTGTAGTTAATACACCTTGTCTAGTAGTTTAAACGTCTTTATAAGATACAATAGACAGATATCATTGTGTAGTTAATAC